TGCCAACACCTAAACAACGTGATCTTAAACCCTCGCCATTTTAAGGTGGAGGGGCCTTAACCCCCAGAAATCCCACGGCCAGAGGGGGGGGGGGGGAAATTCTGGGAGTTGAAGTCCACTCATCTTAAAGTGGCCAAGTTTGGACGACACTGTTGTTAGGTTATGCAAAGTGTTTGGTCAGAAGTGCTTAGAGAGATGAATAGTATGGCTATCGGAAAATTTAGTGTTAGCCCCAAGATATGTTTATTGTTGTTGTTTAGTAAGGCAACTCAAAGAACTAAAAATAAGATAACTGTTCAGTTCACGATTGTTACAGCAAGGCTGGCTATAGCACAACATTGGAAAAACTCAGAGGCTGGTATGAAAAATTATGAAAAATTGTTGTAATGGAAAAACTGACATTTAGAAGATGGGAGGTGTTGGAATATACCAGAAAAGTTACTTTCAATTCAATTTGAGAAAAAGTAATCCTTTTTGCAAAGCATAATAGGCCAAATCCCGCTTTTTTGTATACCCCAGTACATACAAAAGTTGTTCTTGGAATCTTGCCTTGTTTTTAGATCTTTTAAAACTGTCTGTTGGTTTTTAAATCAATAAAGTTAAAAAAACACTCTAGTATTCCTTTCAGGTTTCCAAATGAAGGACCAACCAGGCCTATCACTGCTTAGCTTCCTTGCTCCGAGAAGGTTATCTGAAGGCATTTAACTTTTTGTCAGAGGAAACATTCTGTCTCCAGCTGTGGAGCCAGTCTTGATGCCTTTTCGTCATAGGGTTGGATTATAAATATATTGCTTTTGCCTGCAAGGACCTATGAGCTATGCATTTACAACATTATTTACAGAAATAACTTTTCACATCCACCCTATTTACCTGTCAAGTGCAGAGCTGTAAACATCTTGGGAATATCTATTAGTGTTTAAAAATGAGCTAGACCAAGGCCTGATGGATAGCAAAGGTGGCCAGGCGTGTGCAAATTCACACCCAAATTGTGCTGAAATGTGTAAAACTGAGGAAAGGATAGAGAATGACCTTTCTCTCTGAATAACTGGCTAGCTTTATCATTCTTTTTGATTAAGAATTATACATGTATTGACATGTTTGAGTATCTATAATGTGAACGAATTCCTTTCCTTTTTTTTTTTTCATCAGCGTGATCTGCATATATCTTTGTCTTTTCATTTGGCAGACTAAAAGATGTGGGTCTTGAGCGGTTCAGCACAGTGGAGCTGTTTGCGAAGATTATATTGTCCTGTGCCTTTCTTCTGACTTGTATCCTTCAGCTGCATTATTTCCATAACGATTTCCTGAAGATCACAGATGTGACCAATATTTCTGGGAGTCCATCTTCTTCATCTGGCAGGTATTATGTGCAGACTATTCTATGTGGGCTCTATAATAGAAGAGACATTGATGGACACGTGTGTGAGAGAGAGAGGGAGAGGGAGAAAGAGAGAGAGAGATTATGGAACTCCTCTTTAGAAATAAACATGTTTCAAATATATGTGTTCCTAGTAATGAAAGTATGTATACACACATCTTCCCCTTTGAATGGTCTGTTGAGTTATAGAGATAGTAACCCCAAGATCTATTCTTTTACTCTATGGAGGTGGGAAGGTAGATGATTTTAGCTTCATATTTCCTGTATTTCATATGGAAAATTAATTGCTTGGGGGTAGAATTTTTGCCTTGCAAATAAATAGTTCCAAGGTCAATCCTCAGGGCAAGTGCTAATTAGATCTTCAAGAGATATCACTGGGATATTAAAATGACACTGAAGTGGTCTGACCCAAAATTTGAGAGCCAGTATAGGGTAGTAGTTAAGGTGTTGGACTTGGCCCAGGTTCTGCTCCACCCTCAGCTATGGAAGTTCACTAGGTAACTGTAGCCCATTCATTTTATCTCAACCTAACCTACCTCATAGGATTGTTCTTGTGGGGGAAAATAAGTACATACCAAATAAAAATACTAAATATTTCCATCTATCCCTTCCTCTTTTTGATGAGACTCCTCCTCAATTATTTATTTATCTGGCTTCAAAAAACCCCTGTTTTTATTCCCCAGACCCTATTTAGGCTTTTGTTTAAATGTGTGATTTAACTGGATGGTGTTGGGGCCATGCACACTGTCTCCAACCTCTGTGTCTTCTCAAGGCATATCCCTCATCCCCTGGAATAGAAAGTTCTACTCACATTCAGCAAAATGTAAGCAGAATTTTCTCTCCCATCATGGGTCTGGCTTTCTTAGAGTCCATGACTGTGTGGACCAGCTGCACTTACAATTTAAGATGCAACTCTCTTAACTTTTATTATTGTTCATTTCTAACTGATTATTAGAACACTTATGTGAACTAAGTGGCTTTTATTACATCAGCTTTTCTCCAACTTGCTGCCTTCTCTACATGTAGGAGTTGTGCTACATCTCCTAGAATTTTCAGAATGATGAGAGCTCATAGCCAACTTATTTGTTGACCGCCAGTTAAAAATTAAGTCGAGTCTCGTTCAAGCTGAGCTGGTCCACGTGAATTGCATGAGCACATGCATGCAGTTTTCTTGGTATGATAATGAAGTGGTTTACCGTTGTCTTTTTCTGGATTTTTTACAAATTCCCAGTTTGGCCTACAACCCTGGAAGGTCTCCCATCTTAACAGTTTCCATCCACAAATTAGCTCCCAAGGCCAATCAAGGTTTATCAAATGCTGCTACCTGTTGAGGCAGACTACCAGATATTGGAGGGCTATAGAATATGGAAAGTGAAACCAGGAGGGTTTTTTCTTTAAGGGATGAAATATCTTTGGTACTATGATACTGGCTTTCAATAATTGAAATTGAATAGATGCTGAGATTTATGTTCTGTTTCTCCCCAGTGACAAGCAAATGGAGATTCTAGTGTGCCTTTTGGCAAATATGTGAGTTGGCTTTATCTCTTGAATCTTTCCCTTGCAAACAACATTATCTGGTATAATTTGATACGTCATGTTTTTATGTTCATATGCAACTTCTTGTAAACAGTCTAGAAGTGTTGAATATGACAGTGTAAAATATAGTTAATAAATAAATAAGGAAATAAATGTTCCCCAGGCAGATCCTAGTTTGTGATGTTAACTCTTGCTTGCATTGGCTGTCATTTGTGTCTCTGATCCCCATAGGGAGGACTTCTACTTTAGTCATGGATGCCTAACAGTCACAAGGCTATTAAAGCTATGCAAATCTTTCCAAAAAGGTTCTTCGCAAGGATGTGCATGCACACACATGCACAGTCAGCCTGAAGCAGGCTTTGAGGCAGCTCTGTAAGGCTGAAAAAAGATGCAGCTGCTTTGATGTTTTGAAGAGAGGTGCTTTATATGCACTCCTGAGTGCTGCAAAACACTTTTATTGAAGAATTTGCACAGCCCTGCTAGCTACTGACCAAGGAGAAAGCTAACCAAAGTTAAGAGATTATTAACTTGCTTTCTAGAGTTGAGCCATAAGTACCTTTAAGACCCAGATAAAATTAAATATTGGAAAAAGAATGCAATCACTGCTAATAATTATTGGTCATAGGGAATGTCCTGTTTCAGGGAAGGAGGCATGTCTTAATATTGTTAGGGAACTGAATGTTGCAATCATAAATAGACCTCTTTGGGAATAAGTCAGATTGAATTTAAACACTCTTACTTCTAAGTTTATGTGTAAATATTTGCACTGTAAGATCCTGCTAGAAAAGAAGAAATTGAAAGCTCATTGATGTCTTTAATTGGCATCTCCAGTTAGGTGTTTCTGGTAGTAGTTGATTGGGAAGGCCTTTGTCTAAAATCCAAACATTTGGGAAACTTCCATACATGCAATGTCTGATTTTATTTTATTTTATTTTTTTGGTCTTTAATCTTTTCAGGGTTAAGGAAATGATCCAGAAACTGCAAAGTAGGTGAGCTTGAAATGTATAGAATATTAAATGTTTGAATCTGCTTAAGGTTTGAAGCCTATCCAGGTCAGGTGGGCAGAATTTATCAGGGAAAAGTGATCTCTCAGATACCTAGACCCTGAACCATTCAAGGCTATAAAGGTAGCAACCAGCCCCTTGAATTGCACTTGGGAGTATACCAGTCACCAGTGCAGTACCTGTAGCAACAGGGTAACACAGTATCAGGTCTTGAAGCAGCTCTTGATGGGGCAATGAGTTTTGCTCCTTGTTCTCAGCATTGCACGTTGGGCAGGTTGGGAGTTGATCCCTGCTTTTCAAGGGGGCAAAGTGTGGAAACAGGGGGGATATGGAAGTGCCCTTATCCCCACTGTTTTGTTTCCTCATTTTGTTTCTAATCTGTTAGTTACTCAGCGAACCAATTTCTTATTGGACATTTTAATGTTGGCCTGATTTGGAGAATATTAAACCCAGGAAATATATGAAATGCGTTTCAAATTATTTTACAAAACAATAGTTATATCATAGTTGAATAGAAATGAGTCATTTTGCCCAGATGAAGAGACATAAAGAATTTACTGGAAACAATAGACCAAATCCACTTCTGGAAACTGAACCGAAAGACCATGGAAGTTCTTTTGCCCTGCTCATTTTCATTGTAGCACAGAGTGCCTGGAAGATTTCGAGGTGGGCTGTCCTCCAGTGATACTGGCAGAGGACACTTTTTGCAGAAAATCAAGTGTCTTGTCTTTGTTCCACTGCATGGGAGTTTAAGTCTAGAAACTAGAAACCAAAGAAAAATCACAGTTGATATTAAGACAAAATGTTGTGAACATTCAACTAATAATTATTAATAATAATTTATTAAATTGATATGCTGCCCGACTCTCAGCAACTCTGGGTGATACAAGTTGTTAAAAATATTTAAAAACAAATAAAAATACAAGAAACACAAAACAAAGAACAAAAATGGCAGAGAAAACAAACTGGATGGGAACAAGGAAAAGGAAGGGAGGAGTGTCAGTCATTCTCAGCAAAGGCTAAGCAAAGAGGTCTTTGCTTCAAGGTCCTTTGAAATATCAGTAGAGTGTTCAAATTTTGGGGGAAACCTCATTCCAGAGGGCAGGGGCTGCAACAGAGAAGGCACACTTCCAGTGTCCCAAAAGTTGCATCATTTAATCGATGGAACCCAGAATGCACCAACTCTGCCAGATTGGATCGGCTGGCAGGAACTATGGGAGACAGGTGATCCCTCAAGTATTCCGGTCCTATGCCATGTAAGGCTTTATAGGTAGTGACCAGCACCTTGAATTGCATCTGGAAGCAAGCTGGCAACCAGTGCAGCTTGTGAAGGAGAAGTGTTACATGGGCATACCAAGGCATGCCCATCACTGCCTGTGCTGCTGCATTCTGGAACAGCTGAAGCTTCTGGGTGGTTTCAAGGGCAGTGCCATGCAGAGCACAAATCTACTGTTCATTTTCTTTTAGTTTTTTAAAAACTTCCTGAAAAATATTTACATGTCAGAGATGATTGTCCCCCTTGTTATCTGTAACCATGAATAAAAATAACTTTTAAAAAATTACTTGAATGGCCTAAGGCTTACCTTGCTTCATTAGCCATGCAGTAAATGAGCTTGTTAGCTATTCTGATGTATTTTAAACAGGCTGGCTGCTGAGCGGTTACAAGAATCTTTTCCAGATGGACTGGACAAATCTGAGAACACCATGGAAAAGGGTAAAGTTGAAGAGCGAACTCTTCTACTGGAAAAATAGGACCTAGTGTTTTGTTTTATTCTAATGTAGCATTCATTTTGTAAACGTAATCTTCCTTCTCCTAATCCCAGTACAAATAAGTGTGGGAAGAGGGCTTGCTTTAGATTCAAGGAACAAAGTTCCTCAGTTGAGCCTCCCCACTGAGGGATTACTGGTAGGTTTTCTTGGCAGTAGGTGCAGACAACAGCGTCACACTCTGAACAATGGTAGGTAGGAGGGCAAAAGACCCATTTTTATTTCCCTCTATGCCCCAGGACAATTCTGTGTCAGGGTTATGGAAGGAAATTAAAATGGTGATTATAGTTGTTGCCTTTCCACTATTCCGTTCACCTTTAAATCGACATACATCCCGATCATACCATTTCGTTTTGGCATAAGTAATGTTACGAAACATGCAGAAAAAAGTAAACAGTGAGTGGAAAAAGATAAGGAACACCAGCACCATTAGCTATGCCTCTCCATACATTCTAGATATAATGGCCAGAAGGAATAACCTTGAGGAACAGGAGGAAGGGCTGCAAACAAGGCAACAGTCAGATAAAAGAAGTCTGAGTCTGGCCAGAAATGTAATTTGAGAAAGCGTCTCTGACATGATCCTCCCTAGTTGGAGAACGCCATAGACATTAGCATACCTGGACCTCAGCAAGGTATTCAACAAAGTATCTCATGATGCTCTCACCCAGTAAAATGGTAAAACATAGCCTAGAGATACAATTGTTGGATAATTCATAATTGATTGAATGATTGCACCCAGAGAGTACTTATATATGGTTTCACATTAACTTGAAAGGCTGTCTCATGAAGTGCTATATTTCCTTTCTCTGGAGACTACAAACAAAGACTGGATCCCAAATGGATCTTGAGTAGCAGGTTAAACTAATGACTTCTGAGATCCCTTTGAATTCTGTGATTCTATATGTAGTCCTCAGTATCAGTTTCAAGACAGCTTTCCCTGACCTGGAACCTCCAGATGTGTTTGGATCTCTATTCCCAGAATTCCCAGGCAGCATGACTAAGTTGGGAAGGCTGAATGAAGATATATTCACATGCAAATTTAACCCAGTTTAATAATCACACTTCTATCTACATAATTGTAGTTTTCAAAGAGATATTTAAATAATTAGCAGTATTTTCATCAAACTAATAATCTTGTGTGATCACAGCAGTAGATCTATCTTATTTCTCTCTGCCACGTTATTCCTTTATCCCTCTGTTGGGAAATTTTTAAAGTACAAACCTTTTGCCAAATCCCAGTACCCTTTTCTCCTTCTGCTTATTTTGTTTTTTTTTTTTAATCAATTACTTTTCTTTTTTAGTAGAAAAGAGGAATAAATGGACAGAAGTGGTTGACAATTTGGCACCTTGTCTTCTGAAGATCTTAGCAGTGACTCAGGACATGCAGGCGTTTGCATGGAGATTTCTGGAGTTGCACATCCTTAAGATTGTGTCCACTTGGATTATCTGGATCACAGTTCAAGAGGTTAGTAAACAACAGTCTTGTCTGGGAAATAGTCTAAAGGGAGAATCAGGAAATAGAGCAGGAATTGAGTCAAGAAAGCAGAACAAAAATAAATATGGATATAAATACTGAAGTGTATCAAAGTAGGATATTACTTTAGCGTATTTCTAAATATGCTGAAGGTCTACATAAACTGTAGGTGGGTCATTTTTTAACTCCTCCCCTTCTGGGGACACCTTGGTGGTTAAGTTTTTCAGATGTTAACTCTGTAGATTGAGAGGAAAGTTATTCCTGCTCTGTAGCAGATACAGAAATAGAGTCTTCAGTGAAAGAGGGTGGAGGGTTCTCTTTAGATCATGGGGCTAAAAGGAGATCTCTGATTGTGACTGTGCTTAGCTGAATAGTATAATTTCATCCCAGATATTCCCCTTCAGTGATGTGCTGATATCCTTCTTGTGATCTTAGGAGATCTGACCTCTGAGTCATAAGAATAAAGCTTGTGCTATGGATCATACAAAGCTGCTACACTAAGTTGTCCATCAATCCCAGTCCTCAGCCTAAAAATAACAGTCAAATGAAACCAATGCAAAATGTGCTTAAAACAGTTCATCCTGTCAGTACGAGAGAGACATTCATCCGAAAGTCTGCAGAAAACTGGAGCGTTTCATGGGATACTCTCATGCTTTTCTTCATTTTTTAAAATACAAGAACTTCTACCTTTCCTCTGTGGGTTCAAAGGGACTGATAATGTATATCAGGACACTATTTTAGTAATTTTACCAATTAATATAACTATAATAAAGCATCCATGGTGGGTCTAAAATGAGAGCTAGTTTGGTGCAGTGGTTAAGACAATAGACCAGTGTTTCTCAATCTTGGCAACATTAAGATGCATGAACTTCAACGTCCAGAATTCCCCAGCCAGCTGGGTGACCTTGAGCCAGACATTCTCTCTCAGCCCTAGGAAGAAGGCAATAGCAAACCACTTCTGAAAATTTCACCAAGAAAGCTGAAGGGACTAGTCCAGGTAGTTGCCAGGAGTCAACACTGACTTGACGGCCCACGCACGCACACACGCACACATAGATGCAACCTTCAAATATACTTTGAACTATTCTATGCCTTCATTCAAACTATGCCTTCTAAAGCCTTCCTAAGAAAGGCCATTAGAGAGGATTTGAGATGGGTCTTTCTTAAGAGAGAGTTCTGCAGACTGACATGGTCCTCAAAATGCTAAGATAACAGCTGATTCTAGGAGCAATGCATACAAAGAGTGGAACATTCCTATGCATTTGAGTTGTTTTAATTAAGGAGTCAGATGCCTTTACAGACACTATATACTTTTGCATGTTCTTGCATGATGGTACATGCATCCACCAAAATTTTTTTAAAAAACGTCTCAAATCTTGCAAAATGGTCAAATCTTGAAAAGGTTATCTTAGTTCAAGATCTCATGGGATCACATGCAAAAGACTGAAATCTTATGAGAGGAATTAGCCTGAATATTCCTCTACATAATAGGTAAGAAAGTGGAGGGCCTAAAGTTTTATACTTTATGTCTATTGGCCAGGTTATCCAACACCTCTTCTCTTCCCTGATAAGGGTCCAGAACAGCACCATCTGCACAGTTCTGGGATTCCTTTGATGTACTTCACTTCCCTTTATAGTTTGTACTTCACCTCCCAACCTATATAGGCTAGTGTTCATGAACAGTACCAATTTAGGGTGCAGATTTTAAGTCATTGGGCCTTCCATACAGGCATTTTTTACTAAGTGGAAAATCTCCTTGACTATCATGTACATGTGGACTTTCCCTGATTTTCTAAGCAGGGCTAGCTGGTACCTCTTTGTACTAGAGCAGTCATTTTCCCACCTAGTACCAGCCCTTGGAATTCTGGTGGAATCAACTTCCACCAGAATTATACCCTGACTCTGATTTATCAACATTTAAGAATGCATTACAAACACCTCTTTTCTACAGACCTTAGTGAAGTGGATTTAATTATTAGTTTTTAATCCAGAAATTTATTATTAATAAATTATTAATCCAGAATTTTATTTAGGTATGTTACGGAGCCTTCAAGCTACAGAGACTCTATAATTTAGTTGTGATTGTAAATACAGTGCATTTTCCCATCAATTTCTTGATCTTTATTATTTTGTATTGTGGCTAGTTACAGATGCATGAAAAATCAAACTACTACTACTATGACTAAATTTGAGGGTAAAATTCCCAACCTGGGTTTTAGATCAACTGCTTCACTTGATCCTTGAAGCACAAAATTGAAAACAATTTGTTTGCAAAGATGAATCCTGTTAGTTTTGCTTTTTGCTTTCTTGGCATGTCTCCAATGTTCTGTAGGTGTCTTTGATGAACTACGTTTTCTTTATTGTGTGGGCGTTTGCTATTCCTTATTCCAAACTTCGTCCCTATGCCTCAAGAATCTGTACGTTTTGGTCTTGTGTGATGGTCATCTGTAAAATGCTATACCAGCTGAAATTTGTCAAGCCCTGGAATTATTCCTCAAACTGCACTCAGGTCAGTGTGCTAATGAGCTGAGGATTCAAATTCCTCAAGCATTTTTTGTACTTCCTTGAAGGTCTTCTGGCTCTGTTAATCAGATATTTCCAAGAAGTTCTAGAAGCACTGGGAAACAGGTCCATCACCCTCCTTCAGTCAGCCTGCACAAAGCAGCCAAGCAACTTGATAGAAACTTTGGATTTTTTCACAAGGATAGCCACCCCACATCCTGGCTTTTCCTATGAAATCTCTATGTGGTGTTATGGAGTTTTAGCCTTATTCTAGAGTGCAGGTTTAGCTGATAAAGGATGTGGTCAAGCCTCACAACTGCCTCTTGGCTAGTGAGTAAAGCAAACAAAGGAACAAGAGATGGAGGGACCTCCATCTTATATATTTTTCTTTCAGCTGTTTCCCAACTCAAAACCCATCCATGTGCCCCTCCCCACCTGTTTTTCCTTGTGCAAAAGAATGTATCCTAGAATAGCCCACATTTCATGGCTATATATTGCAAAGGATGGATGAGTGGAGGGTAAAGCTGGTTTGCTGCTAGGATCTCACTGATTGTTTCCTAATGCTGTAAGCTTCTGAGCAATGCTAGAAATCCCCAATGCCTGCAGGAAATAATACCAATAACCTGAAGAAAGGAATCAGTTGAGGTATCTATTCAGTTCAACTCACATGTCATTGTTCTGTTCTTTCTCTGGATCGTGTCCATCTAGCTGTTCCAGGGATGGCCTAGTAGTTGTACAAAAGTAGTTCTTTTGGGAACAGGAAGCAGTTCACAATGTCCCAGGCATGATCTGGCTCTGAAACAGCATGGAAGAAATGAATGCTGTTGAGTTCTGCAGAATAGTCCATTTCAAAACAGAACATTTTGCACATTCCTAATCATTAACGTAACCTTCTACAACTTGGTATCTTCAAGAAATATTAGAATTGCAAGCCCAGAATTTCCAGGCAGTATGCCTTAAGGCTTATACTATGGACTAGAGGTGGGGAGACTTGAAAAAACAAACAAATGAGAATATTTTTTTTGAAATATCTCCCCCCTTTCCCCCCGAGGGCTTTTTTTTTGCCTGCACTTTTTTTTAATAAAAAAGGAAACAAGAAGTACAATTGTGTAATCATTTGGTGAATGGGCTACCGTATAAATTGAACAAGAAGAAGTATAATTTTGAAAACATAATTGTTTGCCTAATAGGGAGCCATATAAATTGAATGAATGAAGAATGAATGAATGAATAAAGTGTCCATTTCTTCAGGACCTGGATTTGAATATGACTTACCACTCTACCAATGTTGATGAGTTGTTGGAGAAATCATCCTTGTACGTGGCACCAATTGACCCAGGACTCTGGATTGGAGGACTGTTGAAGTGCAATGACAATATTCTACTTTGTCTAAAGGTAGGACTCTGTTTAGGCACTAATATTATGGTAAGCAAGAGAATAAATATTACAGTCAATGCAAAAAGTATCTTTTTGCTTATGAGACACTGACCCTGAGATTAGCCCTCCTAATGGGAAAACTGATGTCTGTCTAACAATTTTACTGTCAGACAAACTTTTTAACATCACTTTAAAATCAGGAACAAGACTGGCTCAAGATGTTTTGCTATCTAGAAAAGATGGTATTAAACCTACTCTGTTAGATGTTCAGAAGCTGACCAGACTTAAATCATACTTTAGCTTTGGTATTTGATTGCCATTCATCCACCATTAAGGGGGAATCATCTGAGATACAGTTCTGTCTTCCATCAAAAGGGAATGATTAATGAATAATGGGTGTCATGAATGAGTATACAGTTGTCTCAGTAGGGCGAGCTATTGAAGGAAAAAGCAGTAGGTGCAATAGGTAGGTGGGGTGCTTGGGGCTCTGAGCATTCTTATGAAGGATGTGTCTTCCTGTATTTCATAGAATCATCTCACCATCCTGATTCTAATGGCTTTAGAAGCGACAGTGTATCACCACCAATATTTTTACTGGACTCAGAATCAACTGTTGCCACCAGTCACAGGGAGCCTTTTTAATAATATTGCCCGGGAGGACTTGGATGATGGACTATTCAGCTGTATCAAATACTTTCTCAACTACAGTTTTTACAAATTTGGACTGGAGGTGAGAAAATGTTGGTAAGAAAGGAGCATATGTTCTTGGCATTGGGGAATGAGACAGGCAGCTTAGAAGACAGAAGGTGTTTGGTTTCAAGTAGGATATCATCTGATGGGGCCCTAGGGAGCCACTGTGGAGGCAAGGTGAAGCTTTCTGACACCTGGTCCACATTATGGACTACCCCATTTTATAGTTTTGGGAATTCAGAGAAGAAGCCATCTGTCTTCCCTACAAGCATGTAGACAAGATAGCATACTCTTCCTGACCAATGTTTTCAAATGTGTTGGGACTGTGATGTCCAGAATTCTCCAGCCATAGTAAATTACAAAAGAATTCTCCTTTGGCCATGTTGATTGGGAACACTGGGAGTTGTGGTCACAATATACCTCAAAGATACTGGATTGGAAATACTGGATTAATCTGTATTGGCTTGTACAGATGGTGAGTTGCTATAATCAAAGCTGCACTTTTCCCAGCATGTATATAATTGTATACAATTTAATGGAGTAGTATGGGTTTGTCTGTCCATGGAAGACAGGACACAAATTAGTAGCCAAGAATATAGTGAACAAGTTTTTACTTTTCTCATTCATCTTTATTTGTATTTCCTATTTTCTCCTCTTTCATTTTTCCCTTAGTATCAGGTTAATTTGGCTTAGTAAAAATGTGTTGTATTAGGTTTATTAGCTTTTTTGTATAGTGCCTAGGAAATCAGATACTTTGAGAGGTGAATGCTATTGGTGATGATAAATATAGAACCATGAAGGGCCTTAAACATGACTACCAGTGCCTTGATTTGCACCCAGAAACCAAATGGTAACCAGGGCAGTTCTTGAAATAGTGATAGTATGTGGTAGCACAACCGAGACATGCCTATAATAACTATATGGGAGATTTGCATGATAAAGGATTCACTAATTATGGAGCAAAAGTTTCTGATATTGTATATGTCACTGTAGACTCAATGCCTGAGGTCAGTGTTAAATCCCTTGAGCCTGGAGCTGTTGTGGTGTTAGCTCAGTTGCCTCTTCTCTTCTTTCAGATATGCTTTGTGGCTGCAGTTAATGTGATTGGGCAACGCATGGACTTCTATGCACTTATCCATGCGAGTTGGCTGACTTACCTGTTGAGCTACCGCCAGAGGAAAGCAATAGCCAAAATCTGGCCCAAATACTGTTTCTTCCTTGCCAGCATTGTGGTCTTTCAGTATCTACTTTGTATTGGTCTCCCACCTGCTTTGTGCCAAGGTGAATGCAGCACTGTATGCATGGGGTAGCAAAGATGTCTCATGTGGAGGGTAATCATCAACAGTTGAGCAAAGGGTTGGCTTTGTCACTGGTACTCAGCAGCTCCCTTTGCATCAAACTTGCCTGGACAGTAAACTTGGAAATTAGTTTAAGAAGCTTTATGTAATGCAGATGATCTCTTTGCTGGCAGATTATCCATGGAGAAATTCCCACTGGTTGCTCCATTCAAATCTAATTAAGTGGCTTTATCTGCCTGATTTTGTCAAGAGACCCAATACTAATTTTCTCCTGTGTAAGTATAACTTGAAAAGGGTAACATCTACTTAACGGGGAGATGTAACTTAGGGTTAGAGCCATACAGTTCTGGATTGTGTCCCACAGGTAAACAGTGATAATGACATGGCATACAGCTAAATTCTGTGTACAGGTTGTAGTTGGGGAAAAGGTGGACAAGATAGGCAATGTTCTTCTAGCTCAATATTGTCTATATGTGGAATAGGTTGTATGGTGGCCTTCATGTTGTTTGGATTACTGTTTTCAGTGTCCAAGGAATATGGGTATCTCAGTCCAAAATATCTGTAGAGCACCAAATTTCGATTCCTGGTTTATACTAATTGCCTAGGGTTCTTTCGGATTCCAGACGTGGGATTTTTCTTGTCCAGTCAGGAAAGGCTGCAGGTTGAATCTTCTGCATGCAACACCTGTTCTTTTCCACCAAGCAATGACTTTTCCCTTTTACTTTGGGGTGCATATATGGCTGTGGGCTTGCTGCTCATTTTCTGCAGCTCTAGCAGATTCCTGTTGCAAAGCCTTCTCCATCCTTCTTCTATCTTGCTACCTCTGTCTGCACACTTTTATGGCAGCAACCTACAGAGAAATGGCAGTGGAATTTCTTACCATTTTTTTTTAATAAAACAAAAGTAGTACTTAAATGTTCTTTAAAGCTTAGCAAACACCCTGCTAAAAGAATGTCCCCACTTCCCCAAACTGAATCTGCCCCCTCTAGAGATCCTACTCCCCAATTATCATTCTTTGCTAAATACCACCCCCATTTTTTAAAAATTGTCCCAGTCTTCAAAAGGTTGCCCACTCTGCTCTTTAGTGCAGGCTCCTCCCAGCTCAGAATGCATTTCAAATAAACTGCACCTTAACAAAAATTCCAAATATGGGTGCAGTATTGTGGCCAAAAATATGGTGTAGGAAGGGTATTGGACAAAAGAGTTACCTACAACATCATTGTATGTTGAATTCCATGCAGAACACGTATCCAGATTTTTAGTGTATCAGTTTGTTTATGTCTTCTCAGCCTTAAAGAAACCAGGTTGATCTTGTGCTAGTGAATCTTTGTAAGGTTAGTTTTGCTTCTCCTGGTTAGCCTGTACATCTCAAGCAACTGCTAGAAATGGAAACAGTTAGCGATTAACAGTTAGTGATTCTTCTAAGAATCACTGCTGCAGCAGCACATTTTGTTTTTCAGTGTTATGGAGAACGGACCTTTCTGTAATTGATAGCATGGTGACATTTTTATATGACTGTGTTTAGTTATACATGCAGATGATTGAAGGTGCCTTCTGGAGAAACATGTTATAGTAAAAAGGCAGAGCCAAACTATCTTCCAAATTTTAAAAAAAAAATCTCTTTCCTTACTTATGGCAGATGACTTCCTTCTTCTGCTTTTTGCCTCCCTCCAATGGCAAGTTTTTGAAGATGAGGATGAGCCTGTAGTCAGGCTGCAAGCTGGAGATAACACAGA